ATATTTTGAATAAAATATGTAAAACTAAAAATTGAACTCTATCGAGAAAAACCTTATAAGACACTTTGTTCCTTATAGAGAGGTATTCTCCTGAACAGGTTTAACAGTAAGATCTAATTATTTTCTTATGGGAGGACACAAGCCCTGATATACAGGATATCACTAGGAAACAGGTTAATCAAAGACCACTATAATTGCCAGCTTTACCATTTTAAAATATACCTGTCAAGGAAATTTATTGCCAGTAATATCTATTTAAGACAGGTGATCTGAGTTAGGTTCAATATGTTCAGTAGGATTTTTTATTGAATCAATACATATAACCATTATATGTATGATATAATTGTATATATAGGATAACTACAATGAAGTTCAAAAAATTCCTATAAGAACCCTTTTTATGAACCAATCAAGATTTTTTTCCTAATTTTTTGCCTCTAAATAGTAATCAAAACTTTTTTACCATCTGGCAGTATAATTTTTGTCATATAGCAAACAAGTTAACACCTTCATGAAATATAATGACAGATCTTGATTATAAAGCTAAACAGATTGATATAAAACATGAAGATCCTGATTTATGATAATGCATATGTAATATATCATTCACTACAGATACTGTAAAACGGGTATTGTTAGGGAGGGGTAATTGTTAGTGTACAAATAGTGACTGCCATTGAGGGAAATAGTGCAAAATATTTTCCTCAAGGGAATATCCTGTCCACTGACATGTTCCCGAGGCTGCAGGCCGAGGGAACAAGTCAGTGGACAGGATATTCCAGAGAGGAAAATTTTTACACTATTTCCCGAAAATGTGGCAGTCACTATTTGTTTTATTATATACCTGATAAGTACTCTGTAAACAAAAACAAAATGAGAAGTCTTTTCATTTCAATATCAAATGTTCACAGATTCTTATTGGCATTTAAAGGCATTTTACCTTTCAACTCCTATAATCTCAGATTTGGGGGAAGATAAAATGTACTATTGACTGGTCACATGACCTAACTGGTGATTAGTACAATTCATCTTCCCTGAAAGCAGGGATTTAGGACTTTCCAGGGAATTAGTTCATCTATTCCATGTCATGTGACCATGAATAAGCCAATGAGCATCTAGAATACATTTGAGGTATATAATAACGATTGTTAGCGATCGCTATAGTTTCGCTAAAAATTCAACTCGCTAAAATAAACCGGGGTTAAAATAAACCGGGCGCTAAAATTTGCAAATTCCCGGGAAACTACATGAATACTAGTATTTAAGGAGCTTTTCGTTCAGTGCTCGACTTCCGGTTTGTAATTTGAAAAAGGTAAATATTTTTAAATCGTATGTTTCTTTCAATATCTGAAGGATAAATAGCCATCCATCAGTGAAATAGTATTAGTAGTAAATACCATGTGCGTTAAAGTCTTACATTTTGATAATTCCTCTGTCATGTCCGTTATTCATTCTTCTGCCATAAATGATAAAATTTCTAATGCATTTCGCTAATTTGATTTTTTAAAGATTAATCTTCATTTCACTAAAATTCCCCGCGCTAAAACCCCCTAAAATTGAAAAATCGCTAAAATTTCCCGGTGTCAAAATTACCCGTTTTACAGTATATGAAATCATTGTACTTAACTTTTCATCTTATGATATGTCAAAAGCTAAAAGAACAGAAAAATATATATCAAACACTAGTAAACCATATTAGCACTAAAACAACCATGAAATCTAGTTATATCCTAGTAATATATGTATATTTTATAAAATATTGGACATTATCCCAATTCAATTGTGATCTCTGACCGTTTTTTCCTAATTATTGAATCTGCGACAATTTAGTTGAACTTCATTATCGTTAATCAAGTAGCCAATGAATAATAAGAAAATGGTCCTTGAAGTCAGATTTAAAGAGTGAAAATGAGTGATATTATCCAGGAATAAACTACACAGATTTGTAGTCAACACTCTAAATTTTATAGAAATGCAAGAAAATCAGACACTTCATTCAAATTTTAGAGAGAAAAGAGTGAAATCAGCAAGGAATAAAGTAAACAGATGTGGAGTCAACGCTCTTAATTGTATAGAAATGCAAGAAAATCAGACACTTCATTCAAATTTTAGAGAGAAAAGAGTGAAATCAGCAAGGAATAAAGTAAACAGATGTGGAGTCAACGCTCTTAATTGTATAGAAATGCAAGAAAATCAGACACTTCATTCAAATTTTAGAGAGAAAAGAGTGAAATCAGCAAGGAATAAAGTAAACAGATGTGGAGTCAACGCTCTTAATTGTATAGAAATGCAAGAAAATCAGACACTTCATTCAAATTTTAGAGAGAAAAGAGTGAAATCAGCAAGGAATAAAGTAAACAGATGTGGAGTCAACGCTCTTAATTGTATAGAAATGCAAGAAAATCAGACACTTCATTCAAATTTTAGAGAGAAAATGTGTGAAATAAGCATGAGCAGACGATGTTTTAGCTGAAATTTTAGACACGGGTTAACAGCTGTATTAGGGAAATTATTGATTGCTTTATTAGAAAATACTGATAGATCATATCCTAATAGCTTTCTAAAGCTTTCAGGATTTCAGATCAAAGACTGACATATCCCATAAAGATTTCCGATACAAGAAGTAGATCCAGTTTCAGGATGACTTTTATGCTTCTTGACGCATGATGTCCTTGTCTAAAAACTAGAGCTCAAAATTTTATAAGGGTTGAGTTAATGAGCCAAAATAACCTGAAATAGATTACACATTTTAAAATTAAAATCATACTATTTATATAATTTAAAAAAGTAAATCTTTTATCTGCCTGATTCCTCACCTCTACCCCCTCCCTCATATCTGTAAGTGCCAATCAGTAAAGCATGATCTTCATTTATGATCAATCACTTTCTCATACGGTACATATAATATTATTTCAATAATCAGTAGTCAGATATTACTGGCCAACAATATGAAACTTCTTGGTTTCAAAGTACAAGAAGTGGCTAGAAATCCTACAGTATTCACATACAAAATGTATATACGAGTATTAGTACTGTAATTCACAAATTTATTATATTCTGACCTGAAGAAATGACAGTCTTAAGTTGATTTAAAAAAATATGAAACTGCCAGATTCTAGACATGAGCTGAGTAATAATTCTTCATAAGTTGTAAAATCTCAGGGGTTTCATAAAATTCCTGAAAAGCAGGTGATTTTGTAAAACAATTCTGATGCTAATGAAACCCCAATGATGTGATTCTCAAATTATGGTAAATATCACGATTCCCAATTTAAGGAAGTTTACTTGGCAATTTTTCATGAATTTTCATACAGCATATAAATATATAAATATAAATATATGCAATTGGATGGTCAAGTTAATACTGAAATTGTTGGATGTTGATTATCAATTAGTCTAGCTCCAAGCCCCTGTGACCCCCTCCAACTACTTGACTATACAGGCATGAAAACTTCACACACAGAGCCGGTATGTGAAATTAGGGGGAGGGCACAAAGGCTTATAGCTAGACTAATTATCAATATGCCTGTATGCTATGCCTTCTTTTCTCTGGAAAATGGTTGCAAAGAGCATTGACCATTGGCTTCATATCAGTCAAAATATTTTGCAGCTGTATAATTTATTCCCTATTTCTTAAGTTAGCTGTTTGTGAACTGTATCCTTTACTTGCAAAGGGGCTGACTTTAAAAATTTAGAAATTTAACATTTATATTAATTATAATTAAAATGTCTGAGTGGCCAAACTGCTCATACAATAAATGATATACCGGATTTTCTCGCATATAAGCCCTGGGAGTATAACTGAAAGAAGGGGTAATTTTGTCTGTTATTTTACCTCTTATTTTTCGCCCATGGGCGTATAAGTGTATTACTTTAGATTTTTGGCCCAGTGGGCGCAAAGGTGAGAAGACTTAATGTTGAAACAAAGTAACAACAGAACGATCCACCACTGCCACTTACGGCACAGCGTTGAACTTAATGTTGAAAAAAGTAACGACAGAACGATCTGCCAGTGACAAAATACTCTTGAATTTATTGAAAAAATCAATAAATAGTCATTTTTTATAGGCCAATGGTCGTATAAGCGTACTACATTAGATTTTTGGCCCATGGGCCTAAATTTAGGGGGGCGTATATGCGAGAAAATCGGGTAAATGACCTTTTATAAATTGAAAGTGTTTCTAAATCATTTTTTCATTTATTCTGAAGTAGCCTATTTACAGTTGGGGACAAAAATAAATGACAGGTCGATTTTCGATCACCATTTCCTAATTGTTGTGGTCTGAAAGCCCATAATTTCCAATATTGTCTAGATATATATCCCTTAAAATTTGTATATTATATATTTTGTATAATCTCATCCACTGATGTATGGCCTCTTGTAAATTCTCTTATTTTTAACATGGGAAATCCTCACTTCAGCAAATCCACCTGTCATTTACTTATGTCCCCAACTGTATGAATTAAATCAGTATGTCTGGGTATTTTGACTCATGATGAATGTCCAGTTCTGCCAGTAGATATAACCGAACAAAGGCCTCGGGAACATGAATAATAAAAAAACGAGTCGAAGATAAGATAAGAAAAATAAACACCGGCTTGTAGGCTTATGTAGCCGAGATATGAGTCGAGATATGCATTCTTTTTTATACATGTTCGTGGGCTATTTTATGCGGCGACAGCTTAAATACAAGTCAAATGAGGGAAGAAATTAGTGTACACAGCACTACCAAAAGTCAATGGTAAATTTCATAATGGCGAATGCCAACAATTACAGTGCAAGAGACGAACTGCTGAAGCAGCTGAATATGCAACACAAAAACAACCAACCATCGAAGACCATCTGCAAAAGATTGGAGACTACAGCGATATGTCACCACTTCTTGATCAGATGTTGATAGTAAGAGACATTGGTAAAAGTATCATCAATTGAAACAACTTTGAATTGAATTTTAAAAATTTTTTGACAAGTGTCACTGTCAAAATTTTGGTAAACTTACAATATTCCACTGCATGATGTACACACATAAGATCCAGTAGTCATGTTGACATATGTGGGTCCCCGCTGATGACAGTCAAAACATTGTTTATTATGAGGTAAAGACACCATAGCACGTAACATCTTGAGATGTTTTTCATCTTGCTTCCTCTTGTTGGCCGCCATTTTGTTTTTAGACATACCGGAAGTGACTAAATTTATACAAATATTGAAGATAGCGATCTAATCACGGTAAACTTGTAATCATATCTCTATGAAAATATTGGCTCAAGTCTTCGACATAGCACTAAAGTCGAGATTGAAGGTTTTGGCACATAAATTTCAAGGAAACAATCAAAACATGTGAGCGAATTTTTTGCGGAAGATTGGTGTCACAATTAGTCCAAAGTGTGACAATTATTTCCCAAAGTTTTACCATCCTAAAAAGGTTTTCAAAATTGATGTAGACTTTTAAAGCTACAAACGAAACATTTTATTGTGATTTCATACTCAAATGATGTATTAGATATATCGTACTGTACAGATGTAATGTGCAACATTATGATTTGGAAATATATAAAGAGATTCGAAATCTACTGTTTGAGACACCAATTTATACTTACCGCGCGAAATTTAAACAGCAGCACATTTTAAATAAAAATGACCAATAAATCGAATATTATCGTACTATCGTACATTATAGCAATGGGATTATATGTTGTAGTAGTGACTGCAGATACGTGTATTGCTCCTGATGCCATGTGTAATAGGTAATTCTTTATTTCGTTTCTTTCACATAAACATAGACATGCACCCACCGTGACCATCCAGGCCTGTCAACTGTCCCGCAATTTGCGTATTTGTCACGCATTTGCTGAAGAATTTGAAGTCACGCCAGTTATTTTTGCGTGACAGAAAATGTCACGCAAATACGCATTTTACCTGGTAATTGTCAAGCAAAAATATTTCTGTAGAAAAATTTCTAAAAAAGATCGTCTACACAGCAAAAATACGAACGCCGCAAAAAAATATACGCATTTCGTTCGGACTTTTCACGCGAATTACGTATATGTCACGCATTCCGTTCGAAATTTTTCGTATCAAGGTGTCCAGATTTGGACCAAGGTGTCCACATTTTGAGGGGAGGTGTTCAACATTTCCAAGTCACTCATGTTAGGTGTTCCCAAGTTGACAGGCCTGCATCACTGACCTGTGACCAGTGACACTCAGTCTCTTTGATGGACACATATATGCCCGAGCAGGTGCTGGTGCGGTGAATTCGTACGATCCGCGATCCGATCCGGATAAATTTCGTCATGGTAATGATGCATTGTGGGATCATGGGCTTTCAATTAGAAGGGTATGCAACTCTGTGTAATAGACATGAGACCTTCAAAATGACCTATGCCATGTTTCCCTTTTTATGGTAATAATTCAAAAAGTATTAGATAAATGAATATGTTTGATGATTTTGAATAAAAACTAGGCCTAGTTTCATGTACAAGCCCTCGCGACCCCCCCCCCCCCCCCCCACTTCAACTGTAAAGGTGTTCAGTCAAGTAGAGGGGAGGAGGGGGGCTTGTAGCTAGACTAAGACAGGCTCAGCCATCAGTCTCATCTGCTATCTATTTCTTGGATCATACCATGGGCTTTCAAGAAAAAGCCATGTTCATACAGAAGGTTTTGAGGTTTTGGGCAGATATGGCAGAATGCTGGTACATAGAATAGGCGAAAACATGGTCATAACATAAATATCTCCAGCAATGCATAACCAAAGTGGGACCATGGTGGAACAAACTTTTTATTGGTTCATTGATTAAACAAAATCCTCTCAACCTTAAAACCATGTTTTTGCATATTGTTTGGACGATAAAGGTCATACAAGTTACAAGCCTCACAATTGATACAAGTCAAACATATATAAACATGAAATCAAGACCACATTATATACAAGAGAACTTGGGGGAGTCATCAGGTCTTGGCCTCCGGGAACAAAGTCGGTGACATCACGGTAAAACATTTGTGGCCTTAATTTTGTGGCCTTAATAATTAGCTTCAAGACTATAGACTCCCTTTTTCTACATGCACTTCACCAACACAACAATGGATGTTGTTAAATATTTTCATTTCAGATATGTTGGAGGAAATGGAACCATCATTACACCAAGTGCCACAGTTCCCGCCCATAAGGTAAATATACTATGCAGTATGTGAAGCAAAATCTGCCTGCTGTTTTGCACAAGTGACAAGTAAAACATTATCATTAGCCATGCCTACTTTCTTTGGACAGTTGTGAAATGCAGTTCACACATACGAGCCATGCACGGTGTGTCTGATTCCAGCCAATCCGGACACGGCAGTAGTTCCTGTAATTGCAGTGCATCATAAAAGAAATCACCGCATTCAATGTCATTCCTTATGTGGTTGTCAAGGTGACAACTTGACTCTACAAATTGAAATTGATGCTTTGCCAGCTTGACCCTTGGAAATAGTTTCATTGAAACTAATATTAAGTGACATGGTATAAAATATTTTGCAATGTGTGAAAATAATTTTAAGCCCAAGACTAAATGCATTGTAGAATGACCATTCCTTTCAGGTTTGTTTCCTAAAATTAACACTCGATGCTGCACATCTTGTGCAAATTTTGGAAAGCAACATCTTCAAGGAATGATCATTCCACATTGCAGTGAGACAAGGGTGTAATTGCTTAAACAATCAACTTGCACAAAGCCAAATATTTTTGGTTCCAGCCATACACAATTTTTACCTCAACTGATTCAAAGTCATATGTTGAATGGTTGTCAGGGGTGTAGGCAGCTTTCAGTCAGGGGGTTCAATTGCCAAAAAAATTTCAGTTTTCAGACAGGGGGAGTGCGGTTGTGGCATAAACTTTGATTTTCAAAATTATCAACATGTTTTCAGAAGTTTAAATCTGACTTCATATATAAGATTTGACCTTTAATGACATTTCAAGGTAAAAAAGGCCAAAAAGATCTTTTTTCAACTTGCTTCAAATTGACCGTTTTTTTTCAAATCATCTACAAGTTATGAGAAGTTCAAATCTGACTTTAGATTGGAGATTTCAACTTGCTTCAAATTGACAAATTCTTTTTTTCAAAATCATCTACAGTTCAAATCTGACTTTAGATTTGAAATTTTACCTTCAATGACCTTTTCAAGGTCAAAAAGGTCTTTTTTCAACTTGCTTCAAATTGACCAATTTCTTTTTCAAAATCATCAGTCATGTCAGTTATCAGATTCAAATTTGACTTTAGATTTGAGATTTGATGTTCAATGACCTTCTCAAGGTCAAAAAAGGTCAAAAGGGTCACCTGCATCAAATTGACCAATCTTTTTTTCAAAATCATCAACAAGTTCTCAGAAGTTCAAATCTGACTTTAGATTTGAGATTCTACCTTCAATAACCTTCTCAGGGTCAAACAAGGTCTTTTTACAACTTGCTTCAAATTGACCAATTTATTTTTTCAAAATCATCTACAAGTTCTAAGAAATTCATATCTGACTAAGATTGAACTCATAATATTGTGAGCAACAAGGTGGTGACATTTTGTCATGTTAATGCCTTGTATTTCTTTGCAATGTGCATTGTGACTGATTTGTTCCACCCAGACATTTTGTCCTAAACTTAGCACTCAATTCTGTTAATCTCGTGCAAAGTTTAAAACAACACCTCAAAGGAATGATAATCTACAGTTCACAATGCACTGAGTTCAGGGGTTAAATCCTTAAATAATGATGTATTTTATTTGTTTTTACATTTGTTTCTTTCAGAGTGTCTTAGTAGACAGTAGCAGTTATCCAGAGGTCATACCCCATCATTGTAACCAGAACATGTCGATATATAGACAGTAAGTTTACATATTAAACAGACAAAAGGTTTTTTCACATTTCATGGTTTTTAACATTGATGAACAGGCCCATAGCTATAGGACTTGCCAAGGAGGGGTTCACTTTTTAAAAATTCCAGGGTGGTTCATTTTTGACAACTTTGGCCCAAAATTGGCCAAAATCATTTGAAAAGTGCTCAGAATGGTGAAAAACTGCATGAGTTTTGAAAGAGCTCAACTCCCCAACCCCCGTGGCTACGGGCCTGATGAATGATGATTGAAGTCTATAACAGATTAACAGTGTTCAGAACATTAAGAGAGGTGGACAAGTTAGATAGGTGGCAATGTATACACATTTTCTGTAGTCTACTAATAGAACAGTGGATGCTGCTTTCTGTGAACTTTAGTTCAACAAGTTAAACCTAGTCTGGGCCTTATTTCTTATCTGACATATCTTGTGGCTCGCCTTAAGGTTTAATGTCCGTGCCTATTCGGCCTTTGATGCAAACAATTTTAATGTGGCCTATGGCAGCGCATGGAATTCTATGCGCGTTTTATTAATACCTGATAGTGAGAATTTGCAACCAATGAAAGCATAGCATGGAAGTTAAACCCAACCACGGCAACAAGAACACAAGAATAAATGAAAGCCATGGTATTGGGTTTAACTTGTTGAACTATGTGAACTTGTGCCATTGCTAGTATGGTTGATGTCAAGTTTGGAAATAAAGAGGAAATATTGGTTATCAGCCTTGTTAAACAATGTTCTATTTTCAGCCAACACATATACCTGAGCACAGACTTTTTCCTCTCTCCCATGGAACCACTGGTTGTGAACACATCCACCATTGCGGTGAGTTCTTTTCTGAGTTAGTCACAGTGAATACAATGTTATGGGGGCTGTTTGGAGAGGGGGTTGGGAGGGTTTGAAAATTGAACCACTGATTGTGAACACATCCACCATTGCGGTGAGTTCTTTTCTGAGTTAGTCACAGTGAATACAATGTTATGGGGGCTGTTTGGAGAGGGGGTTGGGAGGGTTTGAAAATTGAACCACTGGATGTGAACACATCCACCATTGTGGTGAGTTCTTTTCTGAGTTAGTCACAGTGAATACAATGTTATGGGGCTGTTTGGAGAGGGGGTTTGGAGGGTTTGAAAATGGAACCACTGGATGTGAACACATCCACCATTGCGGTGAGTTCTTTTCTGAGTTAGTCACAGTGAATACAATGTTATGGGGCTGTTTGGAGAGGGGGTGGGGAGGGTTTGAAAATTGAACCACTGGTTGGGAACACATCCACCATTGCGGTGAGTTCTTTTCTGAGTTAGTCACAGTGAATACAATGTTATGGGGGCTGTTTGGAGAGGGGGTGGGGAGGGTTTGAAAATTGAACCACTGGTTGGGAACACATCCACCATTGCGGTGAGTTCTTTTCTGAGTTAGTCACAGTGAATACAATGTTATTGGGGCTGTTTGGAGAGGGGGTTTGGAGGGTTTGAAAATGGAACCACTAGTTGGGAACACATCATCCATTGCGGTGAGTTCTTTTCTGAGTTAGTCACAGTGAATACAATGTTATTGGGGCTGTTTGGAGAGGGGGTTTGGAGGGTTTGAAAATGGAACCACTAGTTGGGAACACATCCACCATTGCGGTGAGTTCTTTTCTGAGTTAGTCACAGTGAATATATGTATGTCATCGGGGCTGTTTGGAGAGGGGGTTTGGAGGGTTTGAAAATTGAACCACTGATTGTGAACACGTCCATCATTGCGGTGAGTTCTTTTCTCATTCTGTCACAGTGAATACAATGTTATTGGGGCTGTTTGGAGAGGGGGTTTGGAGGGTTTGAAAATTGAACCACTGGATGTGAACACATCCACCATTGTGGTGAGTTCTTTTCTGAGTTAGTCACAGTGAATACAATGTTATGGGGCTGTTTGGAGAGGGGGTTTGGAGGGTTTGAAAATGGAACCACTGGTTGTGAACACATCCACCATTGTGGTGAGTTCTTTTCTGACTTAGTCACAGTGAATACAATGTTATTGGGGCTGTTTGGAGAGGGGGTTGGGAGGGTTTGAAAATTGAACCACTGGTTGGGAACACATCCACCATTGCGGCAAGTTCTTTTCTGAGTTAGTCACAATGAATACAATGTTATTGGGGCTGTTTGGAGAGGGGGTTGGGAGGGTTTGAAAATTGAACCACTGGATGTGAACACATCCACCATTGTGGTGAGTTCTTTTCTGACTTAGTCACAGTGAATACAATGTTATGGGGGCTGTTTGGATGGAGAGGGGGTTGGGAGGGTTTGAAAATTGAACCACTGGTTGGGAACACATCCACCATTGCGGTGAGTTCTTTTCTGAGTTAGTCACAGTGAATACAATGTTATGGGGGCTGTTTGGAGAGGGGGTGGGGAGGGTTTGAAAATTGAACCACTGGTTGGGAACACATCCACCATTGCGGTGAGTTCTTTTCTGACTTAGTCACAGTGAATACAATGTTATGGGGGCTGTTTGGAGAGGGGGTTGGGAGGGTTTGAAAATGGAACCACTAGTTGGGAACACATCCACCATTGCGGTGAGTTCTTTTCTGAGTTAGTCACAGTGAATATATGTATGTCATCGGGGCTGTTTGGAGAGGGGGTTGGGAGGGTTTGAAAATTGAACCACTGGTTGGGAACACATCCACCATTGCGGTGAGTTCTTTTCTGAGTTAGTCACAGTGAATACAATGTTATGGGGCTGTTTGGAGTAGGGGTTGGGAGGGTTTGAAAATGGAACCACTGGTTGTGAACACATCCACCATTGTGGTGAGTTCTTTTCTGAGTTAGTCACAGTGAATACAATGTTATTGGGGCTGTTTGGAGAGGGGGTTGGGAGGGTTTGAAAATTGAACCACTGGATGTGAACACATCCACCATTGTGGTGAGTTCTTTTCTGAGTTAGTCACAGTGAATACAATGTTATGGGGCTGTTTGGAGAGGGGGTTGGGAGGGTTTGAAAATGGAACCACTGGTTGCGAACACATCCACCATTGCGGTGAGTTCTTTTCTGAGTTAGTCACAGTGAATACAATGTTATTGGGGCTGTTTGGAGAGGGGGTTGGGAGGGTTTGAAAATGGAACCACTGGTTGTGAACACATCCACCATTGCGGTGAGTTCTTTTCTGAGTTAGTCACAGTGAATACAATGTTATGGGGCTGTTTGGAGAGGGGGTTGGGAGGGTTTGAAAATTGAACCACTGGATGTGAACACATCCACCATTGTGGTGAGTTCTTTTCTGAGTTAGTCACAGTGAATACAATGTTATGGGGCTGTTTGGAGAGGGGGTTGGGAGGGTTTGAAAATTGAACCACTGATTGTGAACACATCCACCATTGTGGTGAGTTCTTTTCTGAGTTAGTCACAGTGAATACAATGTTATGGGGCTGTTTGGAGAGGGGGTTGGGAGGGTTTGAAAATTGAACCACTGGATGTGAACACATCCACCATTGTGGTGAGTTCTTTTCTGAGTTAGTCACAGTGAATACAATGTTATTGGGGCTGTTTGGAGAGGGGGTTGGGAGGGTTTGAAAATTGAACCACTGATTGTGAACACGTCCATCATTGCGGTGAGTTCTTTTCTCATTCTGTCACAGTGAATACAATGTTATGGGGCTGTTTGGAGAGGGGGTTGGGAGGGTTTGAAAATGGAACCACTGGTTGCGAACACATCCACCATTGCGGTGAGTTCTTTTCTGAGTTAGTCACAGTGAATACAATGTTATTGGGGCTGTTTGGAGAGGGGGTTGGGAGGGTTTGAAAATTGAACCACTGATTGTGAACACGTCCATCATTGCGGTGAGTTCTTTTCTCATTCTGTCACAGTGAATACAATGTTATGGGTGCTGTTTGGAGAGGGGGTTTGGAGGGTTTGAAAATTGAACCACTGGTTGTGAACATGTCTACCATTGCGGTGAGTTCTTTTCTGAGTTAGTCACAGTGAATACAATGTTATTGGGGCTGTTTGGAGAGGGGGTTGGGAGGGTTTGAAAATTTGAACCCTCTTCTCTCCTAAGTCAGCAAGGTTGTCCATTTGTCATTTGTCAGAAAATGCAGAGTTCTTATTTTATTAAAATTAATGAAGATTTGTTGGTTCTGTTTTTTTGGATCACCCTGTACATTAAATTATATTTTAGGTTCAAATTATTTCTCAATATTTCCAGAGTGTGACTAATTCTGTTTCCTCCGTGTCATTCTCAGTTGATGATCTAGTGATGGTGATAGGTGGCGCTGTATTCAAGTATTTCACAAACACAAGGAGTTTGATACAAGCAACAGGTATTACATGCCGTTTTATTATCCCATGCATAAGGGACAGGGTAACATTATCAATTTGTTTTTTCTGGAGAGGGGTAAAATGTTAAATCCATTCGTATTCTGTTGATCAATTGATTTTTTGAATAAGTCGACTTGCACCCCAATAATTATATAACAGCATTAGTTTCGCTACAAGCCCTTGTGATCCCCGACCCCCCCCCCCCCCATTCTCCACCCCCACCCCCATTAACACCTCCAATCTGGTGAAGTAGTTAGGGATGGGGTCCAAAGAATGAAGCTAGACTAATAACATCTGTCTGTGTTATAGGCATTGATGCAGCTGTAACAGATGTGACAACCACACAATGTTGTAGCAACATCTGCCATTGGTGCCAGGAGACTAGGAACTTAGTTGTGGCATATGACAGAGACACAGCAATAGATAAAATGTTCCTGTCTAAAGATGGGGGAGAAAATTTTGAAACACTGAATCTGACCAGTGCAGTAAGTAACGGCTTGTTCTGTGTTTCATTCTGAGACTGAATTTCATTCAGACAGAAAATATTGAACAGTTACAAAGCTGCAAATATAAAGGTTATTAGAGATATGTAAAAAGGGTTATAAAAAGTCTGCAAGATCATACATGTTTAAGGCCAATAGAGTTGACCACAATAGTTCAAGTAAAATGCTATGTGTGATAATGTTTCAGGTTGATATATCTGGTGTGACTGTACTCAGTAGCTATAAGTCTGTTGCAGTCTTAGTGAAACTGGCCTCAACTGAAGTAAGCAATTTGCTTATTTTTTTTATTGTATAATCTGTAAACTAAATTTCGCACTTCAAAATTTATATGTTGTAATTCATTATTATTCATATGTGATAGATCTTGATTCATATATTGAACTTCATTATTCAGATGTAAATTTGTAAATGACTCCTACAGGTATTACATGTTCAACCTAAAAACAACAGGCCATTTTGTAAAAACAACCGGTGAAAATCGCCTGTTGCCTGCTGCTAATGAAATACCAGATAATATTATTTAATTTTACGTATTCCACCTAAAAACAACAGGCGATTTTGTGAAATCAACGGGTGAAAATCGCCTGTTGCCTGCTGCTAATGAAATCCCGGATAATATTATTGAATTTTACGCGTTCCACCTAAAAACAACAGGCGATTTTGTGAAAACAACTGGTGAAAATCGCCTGTTGCCTACTGATAATGAAATCCCGGATAATATTATTGTATTTTGGAATAATAACTGCATTTTAGGCCAAGTTTGAAGTGTTCAACTATACTGATGCTATAACTTCATCACCAACTGTGAGCTTTACAATAGAGGGCACTGATCTACACTTCCTGCAGTTCCGCAGTGAATTTAGCTCATTATTGGTCTGGGACTCAAAAAGGATGTTCTACTCGCCAAATAGCGGTATTAATTTTAATATTTTTATGTCAGCACCAGAAGTGGTGACATGATGTCATAGTCTCCAACTATTTTTTGGATGGTGGTTGGTGCAGCGTCTAGTGGTTGGTGTTTGGTGGTTGGCATTTGGCAGTTGTTGACATTTTGCATGTTATTGCCTTGTAATATTTTTACTTTTCGGACTTTTTTTCAAGTAAACAAAAGTACTCATCCCTTGGAATTTTAAAGGAGATATCTTGAATATTGATAATTCCATATTTGCTTATACACTTTTAACATTGAAGCCAATTGGAGGAAAAAATGGGACAAAATGGTGTTTGGTTTGGGTGGTGTTTGGAGTAGCCATGTATTCAGATATGTAGGTTACACTGTAGTATTTGTGTCTAAAATTTCACTCATTAAAGATTCTCGCAATCTTTATCCAATCAGCGTTTGCGAGTGTGTCGGCTCACGTATAAAAGGCGAATCCAACTCAAATCCATGCAGGGGTGTATGAGGTACTCGAATATGAAAGAGCTCGTGAAATCTGAATTTATATGCACATGGTCAATGTTTACACATGTTTGGAGTTATTGAAGAAAATGTGATATGGGTGTGGTTCCGGATTTGAAGTCATTGCTGGAAAATATGATTTTAATACATGAAATTATATCTATAAATACAGCACTAAAAATAACAGTACACTATATACATGTATGATTGTGTCCAGAAATGTTTGAAACCCTTAAGGAAAATTCTGTCTACATTTTGTCACCATTGCTCTTTCTTCCCGCATTCTAGTGCTGTTTGAATGAATATATTAATTAATGTATTTCTAACTAAAGTATATCACTTTTTTTTATAAACCAAAAACATTTAGATCATAAAAAATTATTCAATACTTGAGTGAGCACGATATTCAAGGGTTACTAAGTTGACACAGTAAATGACCACTGATATTGTGTTAGTCCATGCACACAGCGTATTCTGCTAAGGCCATAAGAAGTAGATCCTCTGTTTTGCGTCCCCTTGCTTGCACGATTTTGAGTAAATCAGAAAAAACACATCCAAATAGCAATCACAAGGGTCTGAAAGTACCATCGCATTTCAGAATCAGATGAAATGGCGGATAATTTGATGTGCGTCAAAATTGACAGTGTTATAAATATTTGACATACATTGTGTTTTTTCTTATTTTTTACCCTTGAATAATAGCTATATTTTTATATATTGTATCAAATGTATAGATATGTGTTTGTAATCACTGCAAATTGGGATGTCATCCTTTTTTATGCCCCTAAAATGTATATATTTCTCAGCAAACAAGTTTTTTTTTTCTTGAGTTTGTGTTTGTTTTCCTTGTACCCTTGCATGATTTGGATTTTGCCAGGACGCAAAACAAAGAATCTACTTCTTATGGCCTAATATACATTTGCTAACACCCCCACTTTCATAGTGAAGTGACTAATTGGTTTATTTTTATGTTTTAATGTGTTTTGGGTTCCTTGTTACAGCAAGGGGGGCCAGTAAAGTAGACTAACATGTTTGCATGGCAAATTTTGATCGAATATGTGAGACACTTTAAGTGAAGACTTATCACACAGATTTAAATGTATATGAATATTTTATTTCTAGGTCATACAGTACACCCTATAGAGTTATATCCCACAGTCAGTTGGAGCAGCCCAGAGTTCTTGCAATCAAGTGAAAAATTCCAGCAAGTTATAACAGGTCTGTCTGTATGATGTCACATATTGAATGATGTCATACTTGATGTGACATCATGTTAACATTTCAGGACATCAAATATTGCATGACATTACAGTGATCTCCCCATCATTAAAGCAAGTGGGCGCAGCACCCACCCGAGAATCCATTTGCACCCACTTGAAAATTAGAAAATTCATGAAAAATGGGCATATTTGACCATATTTGGTCTGAATCGTGAAAATGAGAAATTTTCACCCACTTCAGCAAAAATTCTGTGGGGGTCACTGCATTAGTAATAATCGCAGGGGATATCAATAATGTAATGCATGGCATAAGAAATATGAAAGTCATTATACCTTATTTTGTTAAACATCTAGCTCTCTCTTGTGAAACCATATTATTTGTGGACATCATTTCTCAGAGTATGTTTGATCCATTCCATTGACATTCCTCTTTTTCTGCAGTGAACCACACTCTTAAATGGTTCTCAAAGTATTCACTACACTAGGTGTTACTATACTGTACAGTGAACACCTCTAGAAGCGGAACATCTCTTTTAGTCCCAAGATCAATGACTTAATGTTAAATAAACCTTTGTAAGTGGAACACTTCTCAAGTTGAACACTTTTTAGAGGTACCAAAGGTGTTCCACTTAGTCAGATTTTTGAATTGTCTCATTGCTATTTAATATTATTACTGAAAGGCACATATACATGTAGCCATTTTTAAATGTTTCAGATAAACAAGGAAACTTTGCTGCTCTTACAAATCAACAGAGATTGTTCTTTGGGAGAGAGGGTTTTAAGGCAGAAGCAGTTCTTGTAAGCAATTACATCTTATTTATGAGAATATCTGCCAAATTCTACCCTTGGGTTATTTTCTACAAAGGCTTATTGTTTAAATGTCCATTGTCTAGGGCATGCTTTGTGAAAATGCTTTGCTTTGCTGGGATTCTAGTTGTAGAATGATAATGATATTATATCTGCATGTAGGGAATGTGGACATAAAGATGACAGTTTGGATTGGTCTTTTTACTTCTGTATCTTGACCCTATTCTTTTTCTTAAAATTAAATATTTTATGAATCAACTTTTTTCTTAAATATATAATTTGTCTTTTAATCTTACCCCAGCTTCTTTAAGAGTACTAAAGGAAATAATTGTTTTAATATAGATTTGTTTTTTTTAGCTGTCAAACATTGGATGTACTTTAAATGCCAACTCAGCCATATTGTTTGATCACCTTGGCAACATAATTATTGTTGATATCGACAACATATCGCCTGGCAACAAAGTTATCACCCTGGAGATGTTCCAACTGGACCTTAAGACCATCATTACATACACTAAACCAGCCTTGCCTAAATGTCAGGTAATTTTGATTACTTGTCTATAGTACAAGAAGTTAGTACAGTAAAACCTGTCTAAATGGAAAGCCTTTGGTACCTATAATCGTGTTCCTCTTGGGAGGTGTTTATCGAGGTGTTCACATTATAGAGGTTCATGGGATTCTGAAGTGTTTGACTGTACCAATCGATTTCTGTAAAATGAGCCTCTATAAGTGGAAACTTCCTTAAACCCTTTCCCGACGTGAATATAAGTGGAAAAAGTTGGCCCTCGTGGCCGTTAAGTAAGAACAGTTTTGATTGGAAAACTGCAAATCACCTCCGCCCCAGGACCTATACCTTGAATTTCATCACTGAAATATAATTTCTAGTAAGGATTATCACATTAGAACATCTTGTCAAAATTTGTTGTAAAAATACTTAATAGAACTGGAGATATTGTCATTTGATTGATGAATATAAATAGAAATAATGGTGCCAAAAGGAGCCTATCGTCCTGAAATAGTATTACATAATAGGGCTCCATATGGAGCCTATCGTCATGAAAGGGTTAAAGAGGTACCAAAAGTATTCCACTTGCACAGACTTTACTAGTTTATTTAATTCCTTATAGAGGTTCATGGGATTCTGAAGTGTTACTGTACCAATCAATTTGTGTAAAATGAGCCTCTATAAGTGGCAACTTCATTTAAAGAGGTACCAAAAGTATTCCACTTGCACAGACTTTACTAGTTTATTTAAAGGAAGTTGGAAGGAAGTTCAAGAGACCTGTGTAAAATATTAGAAGTATGCCAATCCAATGTCTCCTTTTCAATTGATCAAATGTTGAAGTTTGAAGATGTAGAAATGTAACAATTAATTTATGTCTAAACTGAAATGAAAAGGGTAATGGTCACTTTTTATTATGTCACCACCACAAATGGTGACATATTGCTATAGTCTCATACTCTTTTGTGACAGTGTTCAGTGTCTGCTGTTCAGCGGTTGGAGTTTGGGTCTGTAACAAATAGCAGGTTGTGACATTTTGTGTTTTAATGCTTTGTATGGGTCCTTTCGTTTTACCCCTGGTTCTGACCCCTGATTAAACCCTTGGTTGATATCGAAAACAAATGCGTTTTTTATATTGAAAATGTACTTTTTTCGAATAAATTTTGTCTTTTCCATACAGATTGCATTACTATCTTTAATAATATCTGAAGGTTTGAGGAAAATATATCCAGATGTCTTAGAAAACTGTCACCAAACGTACCGTATTTTCATCAATTTTTTTCAAAACCCTGGATTAGACCCTTGGTCGGCGTTGGAAAAAAGGATCAATTCCTCATAAAATATCCCAATTTATAACATCTAGTAATTTGAAATGTTAAAAATACATCTAACTTTGAAATATAAAGCAAAAATAATTCCCATATCTTCCAAGTTTATTACCTAAAAACAGCTTATCAAAAACAAGTCAATTATCATGGAAATTTTCAACTTAGCTTACTTGATTAGTGCTGCCATCTATTGATAGTGATTCAGAGTTCATAGCCTTTATCAAGATTTTCTTAGATCAAGATTGCTTTTTATGTAACATAGACATGTGCTTCAATACTATTTATTTATTACATTGAATATGATATATCCATTCCTCACCACACCCATTCCAGAAGTTTTCGCTAATATGACTGATGGTGCCCAGGATCTAAGAGCAAATAATAGGCTAGGAAGATTGACTCCTTTCACGTATATGAACACCTCCTAACACATGAACACCTGAAGTCCTATTGTATGAATCATAAGGCCATCCATACCAATCCTTCATTTGCCACCTAGGTAATATGCTTCATCTATTTCTTTGTATTCGCCCACACTGTGCTTCCATGCTTCATGGTTTTTTGCTGCATGATGAGTTTCCAGGTTAAAAAGCAAAAAACTAAAGGAATACAGAGTGGCTTGAATAACACACAGACCACCTATATCAGTCAGTCATTTGCCACCTAGATAATATGCTTCATCTAACATTTCTTAGTTCAGTTTTGTATACATTGTGCTTGAATATTATTCTTTGGAAAATTATAATGAATTCATATGAGTTTTGTCTCTCTAATAATACACTTGAGTTTGTAAATTAAAGGTCCATTATGGAATCAAACTGCCTCATGCATTTCAAATATGCAGTCTTGTTCAGGAGAAAAACATGATGCTTTCATTGATAAAGTAGCCTATTTAAGATCATATTTGAAATGGCTTTGTATAAAAAACCTCCTACCCACGTACCCTCGTACCCACGTACGTGGGTCCTGACCCAGTCTTTAAAGAGTTAAATTTTTAAATGTTTAAAACATTATTCAATCTCAGTTTATCCTGGATTATAGATGAATTTATGCATCCATATGCCTTTATTTATAGGTCTGACATCTCTCTAGTAAAATAAAATAAAGCCGGAATTGCATAAATGTTCATTATTTTTGAGCTATTTGATTTATGTTTTTGATATGTCGAAATGTTTTTTGTTGATCGGGCAGTCTTACCTGTATAACCTGTATAACCTGATTAGCAATCTCCTAGCCTTCGTTCAGTGCAATCCGTGCCTCCTGTTACCTCATGCAGATTGTAAATGTCCCGGGAAGTTTACCCTTGTCCAAAAGTTGACATCTTTTTAAAAATATATTTCTTAGAGTTTCCAACCAATTAAATTCACCACATTTTATTAGATGTTTATTTCAAATGTTATTAGAATTCATTCTTACGAATATTATACGTTATTAACGTATGTTAGTCAAAGATATGGTGTCGTTGTTGTCCATTGTATTCACGTTTTACGCGCAAAAAGCTAGAAACTACAAAGCTGAACTTTTATCATTCAAACCAGTTTTACATCAAATCATTGTCAAAATAAAACTCTACTCTTCATATTACCTACTTATGGATCAAACGGCCATGAATAATGTCGAAGTTTACAAAACCAAACTTACACTCCCCTGCATAAGTTTGGCAACTCTAACTTTTAATTCCATCTAAATGATTCACTGAACTTGTGCGCACAATTATCCTTAAATTGTGCCAAAAAGCGATTAAAAACGAATATAGCGAATCCTTCTACTTTTCAAATATTTCGTTATTCAATTGCGCCACGGTTAAAGGGTGACGCATATCGTTTAGCAAATCGAACGCTCGTTTCTGGTGTTGCTCACCGTTTAGTATAAAAGGCCCGATCCCGGAATAATACTCAAGGGTTCACAGGTTCGAGGTCGTTGTGTCAACACCTCTAACTGTTATATAGCATAAGTATATTATAGATCGTCACACATTTATAAAAGGGTGATTTTTATTTTGACAAATCAATTCCACATTTATGGGTGAAGTTTCAGAATCTTCTATTTGTGTATAATAATGAAAAATTGGCATCTAAATTTCCCCATAACGTAATAGCACACAGCTTGGCATATGAAATATCCTACAAATGAAACAAAGCAAGACAAACCGGTTTCTAATACAAGGATTTATATTGGCTGTTGTACATGTATTCTTTGAACGCAATCACTCTTTGGATAACGTTTTCAAAATCATTATAAACGGATTACTTTAACTCAAAGACAATTTCAATAAACTGGATTTTACAGAACTCCCCTTATTTCTTAAAAATGGACTGATCCAGTTGATTCACCTGGAGCCGCCATATTGTTTTTATACGGGATGCTAATCGGAACCCTTTAAACAGAAATGCAGCCTTTATTATTCCTTGCGATCGTGTGAATTGATCACTCTATCACTTTGTATCTTCAATTCTGATATTAAATTAAATAAAAGACATAAGACAAATTACACGTATAGTTCAAATCTGTCGTGCAAACAATGAATACTATCGTTTGAAAGAATAAAAAGTATATGTGATAAAAATCGAAACTACAGGGTGTTAAAAAACAGGACCGATGAAAAGTTGAATAACTTCGTTAATCCAGAATCATTCAGGTCATTCAATGTGAATTTTGTTGTGAAAGTTTGACCATATTCTGCTCATGGAGTCAAAAACTACAGCACTTTACAACACATGCCCCATGTGGCCAATTTGCGCCAAGCAATAGATTGGTTGTACACTGTAAGACTGCCCGATCAACAAAAAATCGCTTCGATATATCAAAAACAACACTCAAATAGCTCAAATGAACATTATGCAATGCCGGCTTTATTTTATGACGAGACAGATGTCCGATCTAGAAATAAAGGCATATGGGTACATAAATTCATCCATAATTAAGCATACATTGAGATAGAATAGTGTTTAAAAAAATGTTAAAGATTTAACTCTTTAAAGACTGGGTCAGGACCCACGTACGTGGGTACGAGGGTACGTGGGTAGGAGGTTTTTTATACAAAGCCATTTGAAATGAACCCAATTCTTGCTTGTTTATAAGTTTCTTATTTTTGTTGATAAAGTATGCATCAAGTTTTTCTTTCGATCAATTCAGATCTCATCAGCTGAACTCTACTGAAAATGTTACTGATTAAAAGTTCATGTTAACCAACATATTACAAATGATTAAAAAAAACATATTATTAGCATTTCATGATTTATTCAAAATATACATACATGTACATTATACATAAATACATACATTATAGATACAGAATTGCAAAATACTCTTAAAAATATACACAATGTTAAAATCCACCGAGATCTACATAGATGACATATTATAATACCACGGGATGTCATCGCCTGATTTGGTCAATGTTAGGGAGCAGGTCGTTTTTACAATAAATTTCAATATTTTCACACAAAATATTTTTTTACTGAAAAACTGCTCATTCGCAGAGAAAATGTACTAGCACATGCAATGACAATGTCAATCACGCTTCTGTACGAAATTCGGCGGAAGTCTTTTATAATCTAATACGAAGTTACTAAAAAAGGCGCGAACGCCCTACACTCAAAATGATCGTTTTTCCATTATAACTTTTTTACGTAATTTAACGAAGGCTTCTAATTATTATCCAAGATAGTCTAAATACCGATTAAAATATTTCTTACTTCAAACAGATACGCCGTCTTTTATTCAATTTTTTAAAAAATAATAAAAAATAACTCTTGTCAATGTTAGGGAGCAGTCAATGTTAGGGAGCAAAATGATTTTATCAGAATATTAAAAATGTAGCAA